CTGACTGAGCATGCCAAGGTAGGTGAACCTCTCAGGCGAATTATTACAGAAGGCGGCAATTTTGGTGCCTTTCTGAGGCCGACTTGGTTTTCAGAGAGGCAATCTGTTTCCTTTGACTGCATTCTAGGCTTTGATAGAGGATGCTCCACGGACTCTGACTGGACGTTGTTGGCACTTGTGCCATTGCTAATTCCATACACAACGCCAAACTCAAGGACACATGTGATTCGAAATTCCTTGAGTAGTAGCTCCTAGATCAGATGTGACGACTTTCCACGAGTTGGCGATCAGTGCCCCAATCACTAGCTTCACACATTGAGAGCGTTTCAACGGGCCTATCTTTGTATTCTATTTCCAGGAGCTTGAGGTGCTGCCACCTGTGGACATGGATGACCCGTGGGAGGCAGAGCTGCTCCGGCTGGACCTGGACAGTAGCTTCTATTCCCGTGAGGGCCGGCCATGGAAGGAGGCGCCAAAGGATGCCACCTGGCACGCGTCCCCCGACCTGGAGGGTCTGGACAAAACAGCTCTGGAGACTGCATTCGGGAAGAACGCTTGGGGCAGGGCCCGGCACAGTGTCGAACTGCGGAGAGACGACGGGGGCCTGTTCAGGGTGCAAGTGGGTGAGGGGGTTCTGCTTCGAGGGGACTCAAGTCAATTGAAAGAAGAGCCCGAAACGATCGTGGTTGTCGATGCGGTGCTCAGTGTGAACGAGAGTAGGAAGGGGTCAGTGAGGGGCGATACCCGGGCCAGCGCGGAAGCCAGGGGAGAAGCGAGGCCGGCGGAGGCGAATCCGGCCGTCTGGATCAAGGGCCGGAAGCTTTTAATGGTGGAGGAGACGATTCTGAAGCCTCCCGAGAGGCCGGCTGGGGGCGACGCAGCGCAAGAACTAGAGTGGCCTGTGCAAGAGCGGTTCTTGGGGATCCACACCACGGCCCTTTGGCGGGCAGATCGGATCATGAAGAAGGTTGAAGTGCTCTGGGGAGAGCAAGCCCCGGAACCGTTGACGGGGGCTCCCCTGTTCTGTGAAGGAGAGGGGGAAGGGGCAACGAGGCCGCTGATAGCGACAGCTGGCACATCAGTTGTTTACGTCCCGTACAAGTACTGCAGCGAGACCCACGACTTCGTGGCTCTCGACAGGTCCCCTGAGCCGGTCCTGGAAACCTCCGCAACCCCCAGGGACCGTCAACGAATCCAAGGGACGAAATCAGCGGGCCAGCTGGAAGGCGCCACACAAATCGCAATTTCTCCGACTTTCTCTGCCCCCCGGAGCCCCGCGCCGTCGTGCCCTGATTCTAGTTCCCCCTCGCCGGCTCCCTCGTCCAAAAGCCCCGCTTCTCCAGTTACGGAATTCGTCGAACCGCTGCGGCTGACCTACGGGGCGTGGCCCCAAACTACCCCTGAAGCCTTGCCCCCGCTGCCGGCACCCCCAGTTCCAAAGTCCCCCATCATACTTATCAACGCGGCAGCTCTACCCCCCTGGAGAAGGGAGGCAGCGCTTCGATCGCCTCACCTGCTAACCAGCGCCCCAAGCTTTGCCCTGGAGTGGGCCTCCGATCAGGCCCTGACACCACTCCAAACGCAACTGGGGCATGCTCAAGCTGCTGTCACCTCTTCTAGCTCCGCGCCCCTCGAGCTCTCTCTCCGCCCTTCTGATAGCAGCGGCGCTCCCCTTCAGTTGCCCGCCGCACCCTCTCCTGTGCACCCCCTACCCCCCCAGCTGCTGACTGCCCCATCAGACACCAGAAGTGCCCAGATGTGTACACCCCCGGAAAGTATCTATTTCAACGAGCCCCCGAGACTGCCCGCCCCCAAACCCAAAACGCCCCCAGGGGTGTTGCGTAACTTGGACCTTTGTGCGGGAACCGGGGCGCTCGGGTTAGGGTGTTCCTATGCCAGTATTGGCGGTGGACCTGGGGCCCATAAGATCGTGCCCACTTACGCTGTGGACACAGAGAAGGCGGGCACCTACTTCCAACTTTATAGCTTGCATATTCTGGCCGTTTCTCCAACTTCAGTGCCGGCGTAGATCATCATCTGGCGTGCCTGATGCTACAAAGATTGATCTAATTGTTTGTTGAGTGACTTCATCTTCGTCCAAGAATCGCTTCTGAGATGGCATCCGCCCTAGAGGCACCCAGGCGTCCCTTTCATCAGCCCGATCGTGGGTCTGGTTGTTGACATTCTTTGCCGGTCACCGTTGTCACCTGCAGGATCCCCTCTCCACGTGCGTGAAGAACATCCCGAAAATCGGCGTGTTTAGAGAGAGCATGGCCGACTTCTGTGATCGCATTACCAGGTAAGCGGCTGGCGCCCATTGACCCAATTTGCGCAAGCGCTGGCGTAACAGCCCATTCGTGCTGTTGGAGCGCAGCTTGCAGGTTCCCCGTTGGCGGATTTCTTCTGAGAAACTTGTGCCTTCTATTGCTGATGGACTGAAGCTCAAGTCAAGGTTCACGGGATTAAGATGTAATTCAAGATCTTATTGCAGAGTACCAAGAGCCTGGACATGTGCTTCGAAAGCAGTCAGAATGAGTCCGACTGTGTCTTGTGCAAACATGTCGGTTGTCCTGCAAGGGTGCATACCGATCCAATTCATCGCCTGTTTATCCTCTCTAAGTCCTTCCTCAACGATATCTCCAATCTCTGGATCTATATGAACGCCTTGCGGTGCGCCCCGTTTTGCAGTCGCAGAGACCCCAACGCGCCTGGCCCGGGCGACGTCGAGATGATCACCGCCGGCCTCCCTTGCCAGAGCTTCAGCGGAGCCAACCCCCGGAACAGCAAGACATCAATACGGCGGAACTCGACGTCCTCGGGGGAGGATCCCGAGCCCCCAGTCGAGCCGGCGGAGGAGCTGCCGGCGGGCCGTATGTTCTTCCAAGACTTTCTGCGGATCGTCGAGTTTCTGCAACCACGATACATCATCGTCGAGGAGGTCATTGAGGTCCTGACGCTGGTGAGGCCCCCTTCTAATCTGCCCGTTGAAGACACTGTGGATTGATTATAGCTGAACTTGTGAGGCAGCAGGCCGAGCAGCAACCTGCTCTGCAGGTTCTTCCATGTGCAGGCAAGCATGTCTGGCTGCGCTTTGTCTCGTTGCCGTTCTTGTGAATTCACATTAGCTGATCATCTTGACAATTGCAGTGAGGGCAGGACATGCCAAATTGCACGGCAGAGAGTTTGTTGGTTTTCGGCGGCAAGGTCATCTGTGTGTCTGACTCTCGTCAGTCCCAAACCTGATTGGTGCACCGTTAATTGGTAGAAGACGACGAGAGTTCCGGGCGAAATCGGGTTCAACTGCTCCAGACTTGTAAACCAAGAATCGCTATGATATTTTGGTTTTCTCTGGTCCCACACGTCTCTGATCACTTTGCGAAAGTCCTGTGCAGCTTGATAAGCGCTTGCATGAACCCGTTGGGGTCGCCATCACCCGCGCGCTGGTGCGGTTGGGCTACCAGACGAGGTGGCAGATCCTGCTGGCGGCCCTGTTCGGCGCTCCGCAGAACCGGTTCCGCACCTTCTTGTGCGCAGCGCAGATAGGTGAGCACTGTAGAAAGTCCCCTTTCATAGGAGTGTTGCGTTGCACTTCGGAGATCGATCTCTGCGGTGAGGCTGTGCAAACATCGACATGTCTCCCCTAAAAGTGGAAAAAGCGGAAGGAGACTTTTGGGCTCCTGCTGTGTTGCCTGCTGTCATCTGCGCCCATGTTCTGTGTAGCTCACTGTATGCCTGTTGGACAAAGCCTTTTGTTCGGTCTTTAGGCTGTAAATCAGCAGTTACAAGATTGTGTCGTTTAGTACCGCAGGCAGTATCTGACTCACTCTCTCTTCTGCAGGAGAGAAGCTACCCCAAGTGGCCGTACCCACTCACCGCGCCTTTGGCCGGCCCACCAAACCCCTGGGGTTGTTTAAGCACTGCTTCCTCGAGCTGCCCGACCCGTCCGCTCCCCAAGCAGCCAAGAACCGCAAAACAGTGAAGGGAAAGAAGGCCCCCAAGAAGAAGCCCCAGAAGAAGAAGCCCAAAATGGGCATCCTTATCACGATGAAGGCCCCGAAGACAGGGGCAACTGGGGCAGACAAGATTGCGTCCGTGGCAGAACAACCTCCGACGGATGAGAACAGGTCCGCAATGCCTGAGGCGACAGAGCTGCGGACAGTCCGGCTAAGTACCTCCCCTTCGGACGGGGCGGTGTTGGACACGGAGCGTTCTTCTCCGGACGGTGGGTTGCCAGAGAATGCGTCCGCCAGTGCAGAAAACCGCGGCGGGAGCGGTAACAGGGCCTCCGGTGACGGGCCGGGCCCGAGCGTGCCTGTGAAAACGGGCGGTCTGCGGGGTACTGGGAACGGCACTACAACCGGGGGCGGAGTCGGGAGATCCGCAACCGAGCAGCCCAGCGGGGCGCTCGAAGATGCCGCGGGTGGCGACACAACCGGGGGAGCAGTCGGGGCGTTGGTAATTGGGCAGCCCGGGGTGGGAGACGGAACTGGGGGGGCAATCGGGAATCTCGAATTTGGGCAGCACAGCGGGGCGCTCAAAAAGAGTGGGAGCAGCGGCCTAACTGGGATGGCAGTCGGAAAATCAGCATTTGGGCAGCCCGGCGGCGCAGTCGAAAACATTAGGAGCAGCGGCCCCCTCGGAAAGCTAGTCGGGAAACCGGTGCTTGGGCAGCCCAGCGGGGCGCTCAAGCGGAAGCGATCCGAGGAGCAGGCGCCGGAGCCGCACCCCGCGGCTTTCTTCCGGACGCGAGAAGGTTACGCGGTGGTGAACAAACGGCCACCGGATCTGACGGGCTCGGAGGGGGACTGGCGGACAATCGGGTGTAGCTGCTGTTTGCAGCGGCAGCGGGCGGCGGAGACTCCAGATCTGCTGCCGGCAGTGACGGTGTACCAGGCAATTGGGCACCTGCCGAAAGGGGCGACGGCAGAGAGGATGGTGAGCGCACTCTATACAGGACCGCTGATTGGCTCGATCTGAGCGAGTAATCAAAAGGGATTGCTCTGCTACTGTTGCGTGTTGTATAGCTGTCGTTCATCTGTCGTGTTAATGTTTAAGGCACGTGCGAAGATTTCCCTGCTGAGCAGAGAAGGACCCAGCGAGGGAGGGTTTTAATAAACAAATGGTCCTGCAAAGCGAAGTCGTCAGAAAGCTAAAATCAGATCCGACAAGGGCTGGAGAGTGATGCTCCTGCAGACCTTATCACTGTATTTTCGCGGGGAAGTACCGGCAAGCGTCAACACCACCCTCCGCAAGCTGTCAAGCTTTTAGTGTGCTCCTCTCCTGCAGAGATTGCCCGGTGGCTCCTTCCTTTTCAACCACAAGGTGTTTCACGTGGACCCGGGAAGGTCGAAACGGCATGCGCAGTGGGATCAGCTGGGCCCTGGGCAGAAGGACAAAGACCTCCCGAAAGACCTCCAGAGCCACGGGGCTAGGGATCGGGGGAAAGAGCCGACAAAGTGAGTCGCAGGTTTATGCCGACCGCTCAAGTTTATTCCCACGGGCGTACCAGGCTTCGTGTTCAAACGTGGTGCAGGACCTACTGCATTTAGCGTACAAGCTCGTCATGTCATTACGGGGTGCCACATCACAATGCATGTGCAAAGCTGTTGCGGAAGATTGTTGCGGCTCACGCTGGCTTCTGTTGCTGAACGTCGGAGTTCCACAGAGCCCTTTGAACGCATCAGCTAAGTGTCCTTGGTTTTCTTCTTGCAGGCCGAGGGGCGGGGTGAAGGGCCGGTTGCCTCGGGACGGCCAGTCTGCAACCGTAGTATGCACCGCCAATGACACCAACTGGGCGTGCGTTCATTACACCTATAACCGGTTAGCTAGCCCCCGCGAGAACGCTTTGCTGCAAACCTTCCCCGAGAATTTCAAGTTTGCGGCCGCTGGTACTTCTGACGACCAGATTGAGAGCTGTTATAGACAAGTGGGCAACGCCGTGCCCATGGTCGTGAGTGCGGCGTTAGGCAGGACAATCCTTGCGAGCCTAAGTTAAGCCGCTGTTCGCCTTAGAAGTTCCGACCATATTGGAGGAGCATATGTGTCTGCTAACCGTCGTCGGTAGCCTGCGTATCAATCGTGCTACAGGTGGGTCTGTGTTTGAGTAGACACTAAGAACTTAAATTACTGTATCAAGCGGTTTCACCAACTTGGGCCCAGGCGTTTCCTGGCAAGTCAAATGTTTAAGCCAGCGGGGGAGGATCTCTTGATTGCAACGGCGCTTTGACTTGAGCCCTTGCATCTCGTAATGCGGCATGGCCAAATTCCGGTGCTTCCAATAAGAGTCCTGAGATGTTACACAAGACGTGCACATGATCGATACGTCCGTGCTTCTTTCTTTCTAGATTGATCAGCTTGCCCCATACTAAAGAGGCTAAATCATCCGGCCCAGCTCGACTATAGCTTAGAACTGAACATCTAACATGCCGTAAGTGACAGTGCGAGCTCGGTCGCAAATTGGCATAATGCGCGGCCGGTGAGGGTGGATGATTTAGAATATATATAACGTCCAAAGACAATCAGCCTGCTCTCCTGAACATATATATATAGCCATCCTTATGCATATCACGCGTCTTACACGAGCCCACCGTCGCATGATATTCGATTTAAAATCCAATTTCGTGCAGTAAAGACTCAGATGTTGAGCCTCCATCAAGTGCTTTATGATCGTATTCGACACTGTGGATGCAGTTTGAACTGAGCAGGTTCAAAGAAATGAAGCAAGTAATAAAGACAGAAAATCATGCGTCAAGTGATTAAAAGCTATCCTTTATCACGCGAAGTTGAAGAAGTGTGGTCGATCCGCCATCTTCGAACTTTGGAAGCGCTTTTATGAGGGCTACTTGTATGGCCTCAAAGCGCCACCCGCACTTACAAGAGATCTCCCGTCCGACCCTACTGACTAGGCGTTTGCATTAAGTCTCTAAGAATCTCAACTCTTTACAGCCTTTCCAGCCAGAGTGACTTCGTCTTTTGAGAAAAGACTATCCTGATTTGAAAGACTACGAAGCAAATGCTCTAATAATTGCCCTGCCGACCTGCCACAGGACCGTGCGCACGAGGAAGATTGCTATGTACGCCCAAAAGGCCTTGAACGCAATCACAAGTGGAGAGATCGGAAGAAGTCCGGAGAGAAAGAGACCTCCTGCGATTCCGACCCAGTCCCGCCTCCCCTGAATCGTGGCCCGCACAGGGCGCCACAGATGCCAGACGCCCCACGAACCCGACAAACCGGTCGCCAAGTTCGTCGGCTGCAGCCGATAGCCGAACAGCTTGACCCCGAAGAGGAACGCCAGGGCCAGGACAAGATCCACCGCGGTGTATACATACAGGACTTTATCCACGCAAGTCAGCAGCTTCTCGTACCAGACGACCGTGCTGATCTCGTCCTGGATGGGCGAGAATGCGTCGCTGCTCCCCGCGCGCGCGCTCTCGACCGTCTCGCTCGCGCGCGCACCCCGCCGGTGCTGCACAACCGTCACCCGGGCACCCCGCTCGGACGCGCACAGCTCCTGGAGCTTCTTGAAGAACAGCTGCGTTGTTTCCGCGCCCGTTGAGAAGAATTCCGTTCGCAGATGGATCACGAGCCTGGCGGCACTCTCGCTCCGGTCCAGGAACTGGGCGGCGGAATCCAGGTCTGCCACCACGAGCGGACAGTCGAGCTCCAGGCTCTGAAGGTTCCCGCTCTTCTGAAGGGCCACTGAACTCAAAACGGCGTCTTCGGTTTGGGGGTTGCACAGTCTGCCTAACGGGAAAGCGAACTGCTGAAAGGAAACGAACCCTGCTCCGCATTCCCCTAACAGCGTGCACAGGGAGCGGAACTCGGCCGGAAGGAGAAGGCAGTGACGGAACACGAGGCGCAGCTTGGAGGGTGACTCGTTCAGGAAGTCCCGGATCTCTTCGAAGAGCTTGCTCTCCGCATGGATTGCCATGTTCTCAAAGACCACGGTCGAGGCTACAATCCTGGGTTTCAAGCAGCCCTTGCGGAACTCAGATGGCACGCCTGCTGCCTTTGCAATTTCGAGTCTGCGCTCGACAAGCCTCCAGACCTTCTCCTCTAAATCACGGGAGACGGTCTTTGATGCAGTGGTGATGTCACAGAAGCGGGAGTTTTTGTAGAGGGTCACAGCAAATAACCGCATAGGATCAAATTCAGGGTCGATCGCCGTCCCCTCCAGCCCCTCAGGGTTGAATCCTTTGAGGAAGTTGGTCCTCCGAATGTACTGACCAGAAACCAGCATGTTCACCTGAATCCAACAATCTGACGCCAGGAAACCGAGAAGATCAAGCATGTGAATGAGAGGGAACAGAGGATCCCTCTCTCCTGCCATCTTGAAATCGACCCTGTATCCCGCTGCTGAGATTGCAATGATGCAGGCTGCCAAGTAGTGCGGTGACAGCTTTGCTGCTCCTGAAACGTCCAAGCTGATTTGGATCTTGGCAGAACTTTTCTTAGCAAACTTTGGATCTCGCAGGAGCTGAGAAACCAGCTTTTAAAGGGTTTCGGATGGACGAAGGAGCAGTTTCAGACAGGCCAGGAGAAGCCGGTAGACCCAAGAAAATTATACAAACAGGCGGTCCACTTGGTCGGCGAACCAGGCTGTGCAAGTCTCCACGACCAGTCTGCATGGACCCCAGGCCTCAGGGACCAATTGACGGAGCCGAGAGAAGTAGCGCGCGCCAGCAGAAACCATGTCTGCTCCAAAGTAGGACACATCCAGCCTGAATGAATCCAAATTCTGCACAAGCGGGCCGCGGATGTGTTTCAAAGACTCCTCGGCTATGTCTTTCAGTGTGCCTGCCATGCTCTCTAGCTCCGGGAAGATCTGCTCAAATCCAGCATCAATCCTTCCCAACAGGCGAAGTAGCTGGCCTTCTGTGATGCTCAGTGCCTGCATGGCGCCAAGGTTCAGCTCCTGCCAGAGCTCCCGATCCCTCATCATGTCTCGGTGGCTCTTGTCAACCAGCTCCACGCGCAAGCGGTCCTCCAGACTGAGCTTCTTCAGGATGATGCGCAGGACATCCTTAGGCAGCGCCGCAAGCGGCATGCTTCCAGCAGCGCCCTCCATCTTGAGCTCCAACGAGCTAGCTGCCATCTCTGTCGCGTACTACTTCCGGATTACCTACTGCAGAATGAAGAGTTTTGGGAATTGTCTCGAGCGACACACTTTGCAACTACCTTTCCAGCAGGCCCTGATCTTTGAGACGAAGTTCCTGGTCATGAAAATGTCTACAGTACGGAGTCTTCTCGCATGGAATTGGTTCGAAGTTCGAGACCGTAGTCAGAGTAATGACGTCAGCATCATCTGCCAAGCCAGTCCGCGAATTCGGAACGCGATCCAAGTGATCAGGACTGATCCTCGGGATCGTCAACTCCACCGAGGCCTTAAAATTACATGGCGATACACGCACGTACACATGGGCTGTTTGACCGGACCCCTGATTGGAGGATCGCATCCTAACATCATGTCGATGCTTGCAAACAAAGCCATGGGAAGTCTCGAAGTGCCCAAACCAGCAGAGAATAAAGGTCAACTTAAGGCGCGCATGTGAATCTCCGGTGTCAAAGTTTGTTTGCATGTAGAACAATCTCCGCGATCCGAAAAATTATGCTCCTGGGATTCAAGTTTTCACGTACATTAATACTGTTGGCAGAAGCTGCCGCCTTCGATTCATAAACCTTGATATCCTTGACGCTTGAGTATGTAGATCTGACCGTCTATAGATGAGCCGTTTATACTGACAAGAGCAAGGCAACATTGGCCGACCAGACAAACGCAAGTACTTAGTGGTGGCATGCCGTTCGACACTCGCAGTATTGTATGTGTGCCATACGTGCCACCCGTCTCAAGGACAGGAACATGTGATATGTCACTCATACTCTACAAAGGTACTAATCTAGGCAGTATCATGTATAATGTCCTGTTTGAATTTAAACGCTCGCAATGGATCGCGACTCTCATTTAGCGTTAACCACAGAAGTTGCTCAACGTTTTCCTGGCTAAGGTAGGAAGCTAGTGGAAAACCATAGTTGATCACAGTATGACATGGATAAGAAAGATGAAAATGAGACCGATTGGACATGATGAGCCAGTTGACGGCCACAAACAGTCAGGCTGTCAAAGCGCATCTTGTATCTGGTGTTTGGGTACTGGTCGTCCGTTCGCAATATACCATCCATCAATAATAGCCACTCAGTTGCGAGACTTTGGATGCCCAACAGCAACAATCGTTCTTGCTTGCAGTTCCTACTTCGCATCTGATCATGAGACGTACATCAAAAGGGCATACCTTCTTTGAGAGCGATTTGCGGAAGAACTCACTATTCTCGACACCAGAAGCATGGCCTGACCTTGACCATATCACGGGTATCCACATAAACTTTCTCGCATCTCGAAGGCAATCCTGTTCTCGTGACCTCGCCTTTAGCAAAGCTCCGAATGTTGAATCCAACAGTAACCAAAACGTCCCATTCATTCTATTCTTAACACATCCGTACACTGCCTGTCCTTGCGTGAAACGATTGACCCCACCACCCTAATCAGCTGTCCCACAATGGTCCATAACAAACAGATCCCGATGTACGCCCAGAAGCTCTTGAACGCGTAACCAGTAACCAGCGAGAGCGGAACGATGCGTGTCAGCACGAGACCAAAGGCAATTCCCACCCAGGATGGCTTCCCCTGGACTGTGGCTCGGACGGGCCGCCACAACGTCCGCACTGCCGCCGGCCTGGTAATCGCATAGGGCCACAGCTTGAAGCCGAACCGCGCGAACAGCTTGTATCCGAAGAACTCTGCCAGGGCCAGGAGAGGAGCAGCGATGCCGTAGATATCGATGCCGTACTCCAAGGCGTTGAGAAGCTTCTCGTACCACAGGTCGTTGTCGATCTCCTGCTGAATGGGCGAAAGGAAAGATGGGCTGATCACACCTTCTTGACGGGCCTCGACGGTCGGGTTTGCGCCCCTCGCCAGGAGTCGAGACGGCCTCTGGTGCTGCACAATCGTCACCCGGGCACCTTGTGACGAAGCGCACAGCTCCTTTAACTTCGAGCAGAGTCTTTGCGCGGTTCGAGCGTCCCCAGAAAAGAACTCCATTCTAAGGTGGATCACCAGCTCGGCATTATTCTGGCTCCATCGTAAGAAGAAGGAGGCAGCGGAAACATTCTCGGGAAAGAACGGGCAATCGAGCTCCAGCCTCCGAAAATTCCTGCTCTGTTGCAGCGCCGCAGTGTTTAGAAGAATGGCTCCAGCATCAGCGCTGCTCAGAATCGACGAGAAGCGAAAGTCGCTTTGCTGGAATGCCACGGAGCCCGCACCACATTCCCCTAGCAGATCGGACAGCGCGGACACCTCCGAGGAACGAAAATGGCAGTTGCGGAAGACGAGGCGGAGCTTGGAAGGTGACTCTTTCAGATATCCACGAATCACGTCATACAGCTGACCACAGGATGCCAAGCTCATGCCCTCGAAGACCACGGTCGGGGCCGCAATCCTGGGTCTGACACTGCCTTTGCGCAGCCAGTCCAGCCTTCCACTTGCCAAAGCAATCTCCCCTGTGCGCTCAAGTAATTTGAGGATATTCTCATGGAAGCGACGGTAAGATGCTTCTGAGCCCTCGTATTCGCTATGGCGAGACTCATGTGTGTAATCAAGAAGAGCTTGCTTCGGATCAAACTCGAAGTTGTGGCCTATTTGCTCGAGCATGCTCTCAGGATCGAAGCTCTTCAAAAAGTTATCCCTCCACCCTGGGTATAAGCCATGTATCAGCAGGTTCACTTGCATCGAGCAGTCTATGGCCAAAACTCTTAGAATGCTGACGACGTGATACAGAGGGAAGGCAGGGTCACTGTCGCCAACCATCTTGAGGTCAACTTTGAGACCTGCTGCTGCGACTCCAAGGACGCATGCTGCCAGAAAGTCAGGAGAAAGATTTGCGGCCCCAGACACATCCAAGTTGACGGCAGCCTTTCCCGAGCCTCTTTTGTAGGCTGTTCGTTTCTTGCGCAGATCTGCAAGCAGCCCTTGCATTAAACCAACAGGATCTCGTAGCAGTCGGAGGAAGAGTGGTAATGACCACTGCATGGACAGGAAAAGCCGCGGAATGCGCTTGACTTGCTCGCTGAACCAAGTTACGCAGGTCTCTACGATGTATCTGATTGGACCCCAAGATTCAGGAAACGCTTTGTGGCACTGTAGGAACACCTGAGCGGCCAGGATAAGCATTTCACTCCCCACCGAAAAGAGATTTTCCAGCAGAAGCGCCAGGAGCAGCGGAATCCTCACAAAGTTGGAGATGCCCTGGGCGGTCTGACCAAACACTTCCCTCGCTGAGCTGGGAGCTTGCTGCATGAAGTTGGTGTTCATGGTGCGCAGGATCTGTGCTATGATCCTTATTTGCGATGGAAACTGCTCCGAACCACGGTTCAGTCGTTCCAAAAGGCGTAGCAGCTGCTTTTCTGTGAGATGCAGGGCTTGCATGGCACCCAGGTTCAAGTCCTGCCAAAGCTCCGGCTCCCTCAGCGCGTCCCGGTGGCTCTTGTTCAACAGCTCCAGTTGCAAGCGGTCCCGCAGGCTGATGTCTTTCAAGACGATTCGAAGTACATCCTTGGGAAGAGCGGAGAGCGCCCCAGCTGACGCCATGCGCTCCATCTTAGCTTGCGCTCCTGTGAGATGTTGGCCACCTTCTTCTTTCTTCTTAACTCAACGAGGCTACTCAAGTCGGGTTCAACGGAATCACCACTGTTTCCAACGCGCTGACGGGTTACCAGCCTTCTCTAGTTGTACATGTGAAGCTGCTGGGTCAGCCTGACGTCACCGAATCTTCGAGCTTTTTTCCCGCTTCGTCTGCGGACTGCTGTTGACTCACTAGTTGACTCCATGGCCATGGTAGTGTCCAAGCCACGAAGCACCTACTCGAGGCCGTGGCCTGACTTCGGCGCGTTGACACTTGCTACTTGTCTGAAAGTCGGAAACTATGCGCGTAAGCACACGTAAGCATCAACAATCGTAAGCTGGCCGGGGTTTTCAACATCTTCAACAGAGTGCAAGACAGCGTCCATGAAGATTCATGATCAGGCCCTGAATCGAGGCACGAAAATACTCTTTTATTCACCTTGGGCTGCAGAACTGCACAGTGAAGTGGTCCTAGAGGCCCGCCTTACAGCATTCGTGACCTTAATAACATCGAGATCATCCGCTGCATGTCCACTTTCTGCGGCAAGATGAGAATCGAAGCCGTCTGCAATCTAGTAGAATCGAAGTGTTCCGCTACGAGCACGACGTACCTTAGGGACAGGCTTGTTAAGGGCGTGACGATGTGGCAGTGATGTAGATCAGTTTCCTGGTGTCGAGCGCATCACCGGCATCCATTCGTGCCCCATGCAATGTCTAATCAGAAGAATCAGCTGAAGTATCTTGTAGCTTCCAATGTCAAAATTTCAGGTACATGTCATGGACGGATCAAGGATCTTAAGCGTACAGAGCATCTTGCAGGGTATCATGACATCTAATCGGATGAAATGAATGATCGGTCAAAATTCTGTCATCGAATGAGAAGACCACTGGCAAGCTCCTTTATCTCGCATCTCTGCATTATCTTGATCAAAGCGCTAAAGTGACTTCCTCCTCGTAGCCTCTCCGTCTGCAAAACTCCTATTGACAAGCACTCGCAAAAACTTCGTTATTCAAGTACAATGTCCATCAATCAATCTAACTTCAAAAGTTTCTCAAGCCCCTTGTCCTTGCACGAAAACAAGCTTACTACTGCCCTGAAAAGCTGCCGCGCGCCGGTCCACAAAAGACAGAGGCCCATGTACATCCCTTGAGTGCGTTCAAGAGCGGGGAGAAAGAGACGAAGCCGATGGCCACAGCACATGTATACAAGGACATGGCAATACTGGGCCACGCGAACCGTCGCATCCATCTCGGGGAAACTTTCTCCAAGAGAATCCGGATCGCAGGCCAGAGGGCACGGACCGCACCGACACTGAGACCACAGTACGTGGCCTGGAGCAGGGAGGTGAAGATCTCGAAGCCTAAATAATGGGCCAGAAAGAGGAGGGCAATGACCACCGCGTAACCCTCCACGACTACGTCCACCACCCTCAGCGTATTCTCGTCCAACTCGACGGTGCTGAATCGCAGCTGGAAAACCGACATGGAAGCGTCTCTCAGATTGTCTCCGCTCGCGAATGTCTCCCCTGTGCTCCTCAAGGGAAGCTGGGTGGGCGTCCGGTGCTGCACGATTTTCACCCGGGAACCCCGTTCCGAAGCGCACAGTTCCCGAAGCTTTGCGGACAGCGCTCCGTCGTCAACCCCCACAAAGACAACTTTCCTGAGCACGAGCTCGGAGGAGTTCTCGCTTTCGGCGAGAAAGCTGGCGGCCGCGTCTAGATCGTCCAGCAGGAACGGGCAGTCGAGTTCTAGGCTTCGAAGGTCCGTGCTCTTCTGTAACGCTGCTGAGGCCAATACGTCAGCCGGAATTGTAGAGCTGTTATGAAGAGCATAATATGGCAACCCTGCTTGCTCGAAGGAGACCGATCTTGCACCACTGTTTCCCAGAAGCTCGCAGAGATTGCGGACGTCCGAGGAACCAAGCAGACAGTCACGGAAAACAAAGCGGAGCTTGGACGGACACTCGTGAAGAAAGTCTCGAAGGTCTTCGTGCGTCTCGGTCTGGGGTAGCGCAACGTTCTGGAAGACCACGGCTGAAGCCACCACCCTGGGTCTGATACTACCGCTGCGCAACCCATACGACCGGCCCGCTGCTGCCTCGATCACATTCCTATGCTGAAGAAGCGCCAAAATCTTGTCCTGGAGATCTTGACGAGGAGATGCCTCCGACCCTTTAAATCGGATGAAGTGAAAGTCTGCCATGTATTGGTGCCTAGCTTGCGCGAGATCAAATTCTGGAGTCTGTTATTGATCCGACAGGCTTTCAGAGTTGTATTCCTGTAGAAAGTGCTTCTTCCACCCTGGATACAAGCCAGCCACCACCATGTTCACTTGTACTGAGCTGACCAAGGCCAGAATTCGCAGAAGACCGACCAGATGATACAACGGAAAAAGAGGATCACTCTCGCCGTCCATCTTCAGATTGAGCTCAAATCCTGCTGCTGACAGGGAGATGATGCATGCACCTATGGAGTGTGGAGGCAAAAATCGGGCCCCAGAAACATCAAGGCTGATTGTAGTATTTCTCGAGCCCTGACGGAACGACTTTCGATGCTTGCGCATTCTTGCATCCACCCTTATGATGAAAGCAGTTGGATCCAAAAGCGTCTGCAGGAGGACCTTGAAAAGCAACTGACTTGAAGAAGGAAGTTGCCAGATGCGCCTGACTTGTTCAGCGAACCATACCATGCAGGTCTTCGCAATGGTTCTGACCGAAATCAAGGCTGCAGAATCAAGCTCAGGTCTGCGGACTTGCTCCACAAATTCACATGTCAGGCTGCGGAGAATCACTGCGATGCTCTCTATCTCTGATGCAACCTGCTCCAATCCAGGAACAATCCTGCCTAGAAGGCTCAGCAACTGGTCCTCTTTCAGATTCAATGCTTGCATGGCGCAAAGATCCATTTCCTGCCACAGCTCCGTGTCTCTCAGGGTGTCTCGGTGGCTCTTGTCAAGCAGCTCCAAGCGCAAGCGGTCCCTCAAGCTGATCTTCTTCAGGATGATGCGAAGAATATCCTTGGGCAGCGCAACAAGCGGCATAGCTGCAGCGGACGCCATCACGGACCGTTCCTCCATCGTGCGCTCTTGTGCGCAAGCGCCTCTCCTATCCTCAACCAAAGCTGTGTTACTATACAGCTCGAGTCCTCGCAGCCGAACCCCTCAGCCTATCAAGGGCGAGGCTTAAACTTCATCTTCGGCCTTAGCGACCGCGAATGCACCAAACTTCCTCGGTGACGTCAGACTGACTCAAGTACAACTAGAGCGGAGTGCTAGATATGTGTTCAGCGCTTTGGAAAAGGAGTTGAGATGCTCGACACCAGGACCGATTTGTCACTGAAGCTGAGTAGCCACGAGCAATCCGAGAAGAAGGAACAAAGATGGCAATTACGTCACAGCCCGGGGAGGGCAAGATGGAGCGCATGGCGGCAGCTAGGGCGCTGTCCGCGCTTCCCAGGGATGTACTTCGAATCGTCTTGAAAGACATCAGTCTGCAGGACCGCTTGCAAATGGAGCTGGTGGACAAGAGCCATCGAGACGCGCTGAGAGAGCCGGAGCTGTGGCAGGATTTGAACCTGCGCGCCATGCAAGCCCTGCATCTCACAGAAAAGCAGCTGCTACGCCTTCTAGAACGACTCAACTCTGGTTCGCAGCAATTTTCATATCAAGTAGGGAGCATGGCAAAGATTCTGCACACCATGAACCTCAGTTTCATGCAGCAAGCTCCCAGCTCGTGGAACGGTGTCCTTGGTCAGACGGCCCATGGCTACCCTAACTTGGTTTCAAATCCCCTGCTCCTTGCCCTCCTATGGGATAACCTCCCTTCCATGGGAGGTGACATGCTTTCCCTGGCCACTTACGCGTGTTTGCGGTGCCACAAAGTCTTCCCTGACTCTTGGGGTCCAATCAGATACCTCGTAGAAACCTGCATAGCCTGGTTCAGCGAGCAAGTCAAGCGCATCCCGCGGTTTTTATCCTCAATGCAGTCGTTTATTCAACCTCTGCTGCACTTGCTGAGAGATCCTGTTGGCTCATTCAAGGGGCTGCTTGCAAACCTCCGCAAGAAAGGCATTGCTTATCAAAAAGATACTGGAAAGGCTGCTGTTACCCTTGACTTTTGTGGGACCGCAAAGTTGTCCCCAGAGTTTGTGGCAGCATGCGTCCTTGGACTCTCAGCAGCAGGATTCAAAGTGGACCTCAAAATGGACGGCGACAGTGACCCTCCTTTCCCTCTACATCACGTGGTCAGTCTCCTAAGAATCTTGGCCGTGAGTTGCACGATCCAAGCAAACCTGCTGATAAATGGCTTGTATCCAGGGTGGAAAGGCAGATTCTTGAAGGGCTTCAATCCGAAGAGCCTGCTCGAGCAAGGACATGACTTCGTGTATGACCCGGAGCAATCTCTTCTTGATTACACAAGGGAGTCTCGCTTCTTCGAATACGAGGGCTCAGAAGCACCTTGCCGCTGGTTCGACGAGGAGATCCTGACGCTTCTTCAGCACGCAAGCGAAATTGCAATGACAAGTGGCCGGCCTGAGTGGCTGCGCAAGGGCAGTGTCAGACCCTAGATGGCGGCCTCAACCGTTGTCTTCGAAAGAATGCGCATAACATCCAGTGGCCGGCTCTCTGACGACATGCGAGAGTATCTCCAGGAATCGCCAGCCAAGCTTCGCCTTGCTTTCCGCAACTGCCAGATGTCTCCGTCAGAGCTGTCCGAGTTGTGCGAGCTGCTGGGGGAATGCGGTGTGGGCTCCCTGTCCTTTCAACAGAGGGATTTTGGCTCGCGTCCACTTCTGAGCAACCCTGATGCTGGAAGCATTCTGGATTCAACGGCGCTGCAGCAGAGCAGGTACCTACGAAGCCTGGAGCTCGACTGCCCCTTCTTTCCTGAGAGTGTTGCCGCTGCCGCCCGCTTTCTAGCCAGAAGCGAGAACTCCGCCGAGCTTGTGATCCACCTTAGGAGGGAATGGTTTGCTGGGAATGCACGGGCGGCGCAGAGTCTGTGCTCGAAGCTGACAGAGCTGTGCGCTTCGGCACAGGGTGCCCGGTTGAAGATTGTGCCGCACCAGAGGCCGTCTCGACTCCAGGCGAAGGCTGCAAAGGAGACCGTCGATGACCGTGAAGAGGGACTTGCCCAGCCGTTTCTTTCGTACGTTCAGC